AATTGGGCCTGAGTCGGTCACTGATTCACCTGCCAAACGCGCGAAATTCTGCCCAATTTGACTGCGACATGCCCCGACCCTGGTCACATCTTGCACTCCCCGGCCTGGTACTTAAAAGCACCTCCTCCCACTCTCGTCTTCTTCTTCATAAACCTCATCAACATCAGCACCCAACTCAACATCAACTCCCTCTAACCGCCCTTCACCAACCACAGATCACAAACATGTACAAAATGGACACTGCCAAGCTTCATGCCCAGGAGCGCCTCACCGAATATAAGGAGTCGGTCGCCGATGCGGTCGACAAGCTGGTTGACGAGCTCAAGCAGCGCACCGACGACGTCATCGTTGCCGTCGCCCACTCGCTCGCCCACCCCGACCGCCTGCTCGACTCCTTTGGCAACAACGTCGATCGGGTCTTCTCGGCTCGCACCGTCGACACCATCAAGGACGCCATCGAGACCGACGCGGCCTTCGCCCTCGCCTTCAAGGACCAGCTTGTGGGCGGCGTGAAGGAGACCATCGGCCACCTCATCCGCGACGGCCAGCTCGCCCGCGAGGGCCAGCGCCAGGTGACCAAGGGCCGGTCCGAGGTGGCGCTCCAGCAGTCGCTGGCCGACGAGAAGAAGTACCAGAAGCTGCGCGCGCAGATCGTCACCACACTTCTGCGCCGCGAGTCGCTGCTCAACCAGATCGCGTTCGCCGGCGGCTTTGACAAAATGCGGGCCACCATGCGCCACGTCCAAGTCCGCGACGAAGTGGACTTTGCGGACCTCTTCCCGCGCGACAGGCCCTTCGCGCTGAAGCACTTCGACGTGCAGCCGCTGCTCAGGGACATCCGCGAAGGGAACACGCCGCGGCCGATGGTACTCGTCGTGCCGCGCCTGCGCGACCCGCTCCGCTCGAGCCCGTCGCTGTTCTCCAGCAAGAAGGAGCTGGCCTCGCTCAAGCGCGTCACGCACGACTCGAGGCGCGTCGACCTGCTGGCGGCCATCCGACGGAGCGACGTGCAGAAGCTGCGCGCGGTGCCGTTCGCCAAGATCAGCGATCGGTCGCAGGTGCGCCTGGACCTGCTCCACAGCCTGCGCAAGGCCGACGAGAGCCGCCCGAGCGTTCTGCGCGATATCGTGGGCTCGCACGGCCGCCAGCAGAAGCAGCAGCTGATCCACGTGGCCGAGATCGACGACAAGGCCTCGCCGGCGGCCTTCTTCGAGAAGAACGGGTTCGCGGGCGTGCACAAGCAGATGGAGCAGCTCAAGTCGATGGAGGACATGAACGAGGGATCCGGCCTCGAAACGCGCCAGAACACCGCCATCACCCACCTCTAAAGCCACCACCATAACTCCTTCTCTCTTCTTCTTCATCTCTTTTATCTTCTTCACCTTCACCTCTGGCGCAGAGCGTCACGAGCTTCATGTAAAAATTTTGAACATAGATACATCTCTTCTCTTTTGACCACACATCAACGACGGCGGCGATGCAGGGAAAGGGAGGGTAGAAGGGGGTGTGTACAACAGGTTGGTGGGGTGAGGGCAGCTTCAAGCCTCCTAGGCGGCGACCAGTTTGTAGGCGTTGGGTCCGCTTTTGAGGAGGAAGCCTTGAATGTTGAGGCGGTCGATGAAGTCGTCGAAGCTGATGTCCAGCCGCAGGTTGATGTCGCTCATCACCTGGTTCAACTCCTGCACGAGTCCGGGCCACGACCACGTACATACGCATGAGCCTCATGGTACTCTCTTCGCAGTCACATGCCCAAAGCACAGGAGAGAGCCGGGAGCCAAGAGAGGGCGTACCACTTTGGTGAAGACCGAGTTGCTCTCCCTGGCTGCAACCTTAGACAGGGCCTGCACGAACGCCTTCACCTGGCCCGACTTGCTCACGCCGGTCGTTCGCCTGAAATCGAGATTGCCGTATTCGTCCTCGAACAGGTCGAACAGGGAACTCTGCATCAGCTCCACCACGTCCTTGGGGGGGGGAGAGGCAATCAAATCAGCACCAAAACACTTTGTCCATGCAGACGTTGTCAAAACGGGTGAAGTACCCGTGCGTCTTCTTCGGTGACCACGTCACGAAGCTCCGCTTTGGCTTTCGCCTCTGATAGCCGGATGAGCGATTCCAGCTGTCGCGCGCACAAGAGAAAGAAAAGATTCGGAGGTGAGTAAATCAGTCGGGCACGGGTGAGCTGCGAGCTGGGGGCTCCGCCGTACCTGTCGTGTGGTGATAGGGGTGGAATCCGAGGCCCGGTGCTTCTTGCGAAGGGAGATGTAGAAGTTCTGCAGCACGACCGACGCCTCCACGCTGAGCCTGCATCGTGGGGCACGCGCAGTGTTGTGAGAAGAGGGTCCATCAGGCGAAGAGGCCAGGAGCTCAGGTCAAGCAGCCAACGGGCGGAGGGAGTGATGGGCCACGCACTTGGGCGAGACGTATTTCTTCGCGTAGGCAATGTACTTGCGCACGAGGAGCGGGGGAATGAGCGTGTCCGCGGGGATTAGAGACGGGTCGAGCCGTTGGAGCAACGACTTGCGCTTGGTCGGGTCCTCCTCGTTCTCCACTGCTCCGCACACAAGTCGTAGTTGAGAGAGAGAGAGAGAGAGCTATAGAAGCCAGGCCACCAGGAAGCGTGGCAACTGCACTGTTGTAATAGACATGGGTACCTTTCTTCCTCTTCCTGTGCACCTTCTTTTGGGCCGAGTGCAGCTGTACAGGGCAGAGATGACAATGTGTAAGGTTAGCCCCCTACGATCGCGATATCGGCCTATATCGTAAGCGGCAAAGAGACGCACCGCCATGACGTGGTCGGAGATCATTTGGTCCCGCTGCTCATCGGGCTTGTCCAACAGGATGAAGACCAGGTCGAAACGTGACAGCACCGCTTCGCTCATTTTCAGGTTCTCCGCCACGGTCTTGGCTCGACTGAGGGTTTCAAGGTTTCGGTGAAAGGTTAGACCTCAGGTGAGGTGGTGTGTCCAATAAAAGCAAACGGGTCGCTACGTACTTGTAGTGTCCGCCCACGGGATTCGCCGCGGCGATCACTGCCGTGCGGGCGGGTAGAGAGCAAACGATGCCGGCCTTGGCGATCGATATCGATTGCTGCTCCATGGCTTCCAGCAGCGATTGGTGTTCGTTGGGCATCTTGTCAAACTCGTCGATGCAGCACACGCCCTGGTCGCCTGCCATGACCACCACGATGATTACTTGGCTTACTTGCGGTCATTGAGAAGTGAGTGAGGGAGCTACCGAGGATGAGCGCTCCGGCTTCGAGCGCATAGTCTCCCGACCCCTTCTCCTTAAAGAGGGTGACAGTCAAGCCAGACGACGACGAGTACGATCCGCACACGTACACCCCGCGAGGTGCGACGTTGCTCACGGCCTGGAGAAGCTGAGATTTACCCAGACCTGTCATCGCGGGCAGTCAGACCCACGGTCGCCAAACTGAGGGCCGGAGGGGCCGGTACCGGGGTCGCCCACGACGAGCACATGTGAGTCGCTACGGATCGGCAGCGTGTCTTTGTCGTGGCCCCGCCGCGTGCCAGCAAACAAGGCCAGCATGAGCCCCGCTGTGTGCCCCCAAAACAAAGGCCGGCGATTGGTGAGTCACGCCCCGCACGCAAAGGGAGCACTTGCGGCCGGCGGTACCTTTGACCAGCTGGTGGCCGAAGATCGTGGGGCACAGGGAATTGACGATCAGCGAAAAGAGGTTCTCCTGCGAGGCGATGTCGGTGATCATTTGCAGGTCGACCAGGGAAAAGTCGACCGCTTCGAGCTTGTCCATCTGCTTGCAGTTCTCCACCACGTTGGCATCGAGATAGATCACGAACATCGCCTTCTCTTTCTGTTGCTTTGCTCCTCGACCTTTTTTTTTGTACATTGAGATCGCGCAAGTGTGTCAGGGTCGCAGCTCAACGGCCTTTCTGCTACTCACACACTGCGCGGAAGCACGTACCAGGCTTTCGAGGTCGGGATTCATGACCTTGACGATACCGGCCACCGTGACCACGTCTCCCCGGNACGCCTGCATCGACCATGTCGT